GTCTCCTCTAAGCAGTCTCCTTGGGTTCTCACTGCTATAGCTTTCACAAAGGCATCAGTTCTTTTTGTAACTGGGAAAAGATTCTGCAGGGCCAAGCAGCAGATGTGCAAGCAAAACTCTTAAACAGCAGTGGAGGTGAGCAGGGCCATTCTATTGCGAAACCGGCAAAGGAAGGAAGAAGTTTACTCTGGGAGAAAGCACCGAAGTTCTGCTCCATCCTGTGCATTGTGAGAAGACTGGCCTATTATAGCAGCAACATCTCATTTATGAGCTTCCAACCCCCTTCGTCTCTTCAAGCTGTTCTGGCACCATGGTTAGAGGTTTGGGTCAGGTCCAGGTTTTCCCAGGCCAGGATCTAGGTGGTGTGGAACAGGGAGCAGGGGACAGGGTGCGAAGTGCAGGCTGGCACGAGAGGTCTTTCTCTTCATTACTGCGCCCATCCAGAACACTTTGCAACTTTTGTCCCCCGCAAAGGAGACTTGCTTGGAAGCCCAAATGGGTTTTCTATTATCCCTCCAGCAACCCATGGCATCTTCACCTTGGTACCTTCCATGCCGTTTCCTCATCCTTCTGATAATTGGCATTTGGCAGCTCAGCCCTCCCTGCCCAGGTGACATAGGGGTTATGGGATCCGGATAACCTTTCCCCAGGTGTAGACTGGAAGCAGCAGCATTCATTTTACTCCCCCAAAGTCTCAGGGCACCAATGGGGGCACTTTCTTCTACCACCTTGAAGGGTTCCTTGGGAGGGAACACTGCACCTAAGCCTAGGAGTCTGGAGCCTGCTCCAGCGCGAGGTTGCACATCCCTCCTCTCCCCTGGGTGGGACAGGGAACCAAGCCCTGTCCTACAGAGAGGCAGTGAATTTAGAGGAGGGGAGACAGGGGCTGAGAGAGAAAGAGAGGCAGCAGGGGAGCCCACAGGATTGTGCCTCCTTGGGGTAGGGGGGCGAATTGAGAGGAACTTTATGGGGAGCATCCAAAGGAGGGGGTGCCTGCGACAGCTAGCCAGGCTAGGAGGGCCATGCGAGGGGAGCCCAGGCGCCCAGGCCAGGCTTGGGGAGGCAGCTCCCAGGAGGGGGTTCCGAAAGGAGGGCGAGAGGCGCGAGGCCGGGGAAAGAGGAGCTCCGGGCGCAGGAGCTGGGAGCTGGAGGGCGCTGGGCGCGCCTCGAGGGTGCCACCCACCCCCCGCGAGGCACAGAGGGGTTAGCCAGGGGAGACACACAAAGGCATGCG